AATGCAGAACCCTGAAAGTGGCTCCCGTTGCTCCACTGGGGCATCAGATCCTGGCATAAGAGCGGCCAGACTGGGTCAGCCCAGGGACCGGTCTGCCGACGCCAGAGGGAGGGAATGCAACAGGAAATCATCACGTGATCCCTCCCCTGTCACCCATGTCCAGGCAAACATTCCTGTCCGTCCTGGTTAACAGCCATTGATTGACCCGCCCATGAACAGATCTAGCTCTTTTTTGAGCCCTGTTAATGTCCTGGCCTTCACAACATCCTCTGGCAAGGAGTTCCACAGGTTCAGTTTCATGTCCTGGGGGGAGGGGAAGGAGAAAGCTGGAGGCGGGGCCTGACGACTTCCTAAGCCCATCACGGCCCCCATCACCGCTTCCCAGCTCAGCCCAGTCCCCTCTGGAGGAGGGGCAGCGGGGGCTGCTGTGGGTCTCGAGCCGTGGGGGGCTAGTCCCTGGAGGGTGGGGGGAGCTTGCCCTGCCCAGGCTGGAGCTCTGGGGTGGGAGGGCTGGTTGCAGGGAGGGGGGCCTTTGGTGCCCTGGCTGAGCCTCCCCATCTCCTCCCCTTAGGTGCAGGGGGATTATTACGGGGAGCACCCGGCCCGCCTGGGCTTCTTCCCCAGCAGCGTGGTGCAGGAGAGCCAGTACCTGAAGCCCGGCAAGGTGCAGGTCAAAACCGATGTGAGTAGCCAAGCCGGGGTGGTGCGGGGGAGAGGGGGCACTGCCCAGAGACCACGCTGAGTGGCTGGCCCTGGGGCTGGCTGGCCTTTGCTCTGTGGGCCAAGCCCCCACTGGGGCAGGCTGCTGGGTTCCCATTCCAGGCCCCCCGAAACGGCTGCTTTCTGATGGCTCTAATCTCTTCCCTTCCAGCTCTGGGATTTCTCCTGCCAGTGAGTCCTGCCTGGATCCTTGCCCAGGGAGGGGCAGGGCCGGGCACTCGGCCCGCACCGCACTGCTTTCCTGGAGGCTGTGGCAACCCCCCCGCCCGGTTCCCTGCTCTGGTCCGGGGGCAGCTTCCCTGCTCCTGCCCCATGCCTGGGGGCCAGTGCGAAATAAACCCCCTATGCAGCAACCCTGCCGCCATCCTCCCCTGCTCTTGCTTCCTCCCCAGGGATCTCGGACCGAGGGGCGGCTGCTCCCAGCAGAGCTGGCCCAGCCCATGACTCTTATCAAGTGAGCCCTGCTGGGTGGGGGGGACATAGCCCCCTGGGACGGGGGAGCGGTTCCCCCCAGTGTTGAGCTGTTCCCAGCCTGTCTGTCCTCACCTGGCCTCTGCTGCAGATGGTGCCGTCCCCCCCCAGAGCCCGGCTGGAAATAGCAATCTCATACAGCCTGCCCCAGATTCTCTCGGCTGCCCTGTGCTCCGTGTGCCACACGCCCTCCATGGGACATTGCCTCCCGGAGCTGGGGCTTGGGGAGGGGGGCAGCAGGGGAGGGGAGGGGGATTTCTTAAGTGAAATCATTGGAGGTGGGATGGGCAACCGGGTGCTGAGTGGCAGCTAGTTTACCAGCTGTTCATGCCATCTAGGGCACATGCTCCCCTCCCCGGAGCAGGACCCAGTTCCAGCCCCGTCGTTCTCTGGCCCCCTGCTCTCAGCTGAGCTGCCCTGTGGCTCCCTCCTGGGGCCAGCACCGTGGCTGTGAGCAGAGAGGGGTGCCCTGGGGGTTCAGGGTGCCTGGCCCCGGCCCTGCCCTGCTGATTTTTTCCTGTGGGGTGCT